ATGTCACTGTAGTTATATTTTTTTTTTTTTTTTTTTTCAGCTGCCTAAGACAGAATATAAAATTTATTAAGAGGAATTTTCTCTTTTTGCCACTTGTTGACCAAAAAGCTGGCCTGGTGAAGTGACAGGTAACAAATCCCAGATGCAGCAGACCACACAAGGGCACAACAAGAATTCCCCACTGATAAATTTTGGATGATAATTGAATTTAGCACTTTGGGCTAGACCCGCACCTAGTCTCAGGAGACGAAGAGGAGGAAAAAGGCCCAGGTGGAATTTTAAGGAAGGTGGAGGAATTGCTGACACCCTCTGGGTGGTGATGGTGAGAGGCACTAAAGTAAGATGTAAGTTTGATAGATTGATATTCTGCCACCACCACTCTTTGGGGGGGGAGAAATTTCCCCAAATTTGGTCAGGTAATCTGTTTCCTGACCACCTCATGCTCAGCACCAGGTTTGCATAAATACAGACAATGAAGTGAGACAGTATAGGGTATTGAGAGAAGGAACCAGACAGCCTGAATTGCAGGTTACAAGAGAGACAGGTGCCAGTTGGGTCAAGATCCCCCCCCCTCCACTTTGCAAAACCCATGCAGCTTCTGCAGAAAGAACTTACTCCAGTCTTGTTCCAGGCCACCAAATACACCTGAATGATCAGCCTGTAGAAATCAAACTTCAGCCTTGTATCAGTTTACCAAGAATCACTAGACATGGTGTCACAGGGTATTAAGAGGGGAAGGTGCTGTGACACAGTGTACAACTCTGCTTTTGCCCACCCTGCGATCTAAAACAAACATAACATTAGGCAAAGTGGGATTGAGGATCAGGGCAACGAACCCCAAGGCTGGGTGTAAAGATTGACCACACACTCATTTGGTGACTAAGGACGGGATTGCAACATCATACTAATAATTCTAGCTGTCCTGAATTTTAAGCTCAAAAATATTGCCGAAAAGTAATGATGCTTCTTGAACTCAAAGATTATAGGGCTTTCATAGAATGAAATTCTCCTTGTTTTTAGTAAAAATCAAAAAGAAACCATATTTGTAATTTTTGCATGTTCTCCTCTTATTAGCAAGATTTCCTTTTTTTTTTTTTTTTTTTTTGACCACAGATCAGTTTACTGACTTGTGGCAGTTAATCTTTATCTTCCTTGCCAATATATTACAAAAACAAAAAACTACTTGCCTAAATAAAGTATAGTCTTGGAAATGTTAATTTATAAACACCTTTTTAATGCTGAATGACTAGAATGATTTCTTCAGGGTGGCAACCATTGCAGATAATTTTTATCACTTGTATAGCAAGAAATAATTGCTGGGAAATTGCCATCTGGTATTTTTCTATCACTTCTAAACTAAAATGTGAATGTTCTTAATTTCAACAAATAGGTTTATCTTTCTACCTTTTTGAGTGAACATCTTGAGTAAATGTTTAGCAAGCCAATGACTACTAATATAGATGTGAATATCTCTCAAATTGGAAAAATTGTCTATATAACAGTTACTCTTTGAATCTGATTAGTGCCTGATCTCTCTATTGGCTCCAATGGTAGAACTTGAACCAGATAAGTTAAAATTTCTTCCAATCTATCCTTGGAAGATTGACATAACGCTACCTGCCTTCCTTGTTAATCATCACTGCAGCATTCTCATAAAGGATTTTTGTTTTTTTGCTTGTTTTTGTTTTGTTTTGTTTTTGTTTTTTTTTTTTGTTTTTTTTGTGGGTGGGGGGGGTCTGTTTTTGATGCTTGTTTTTAAATATTAAACAAAAAAAGTTCATAAAATTAGCAATAAAACTTGAGGCCATGTTAATCTTTTCCATTTACATTAAATATTGGTTTTAATCCATTTTGGAAAAATGAAATTTTACAGGGACATAAAATTGCTTAATTGTTATAAAAGATTAAAACTAAAGTATTTCACATGTCAAATAATCAAATCATCTGGAAGTCCTTGCAGCTAAGTGAAACCTTGTTATTTATGTCACAATTATTTTGTTCTATCCTAGTTCAGTTTTGTAGAAGTCATTGACTTGACATCACTCAAAAATACATCTGTTGCTCAGTAATAGCTTTATTCCCAAATGGTCATTCATGAGATTTAGAAATTATCAAAGGCATAGAAAATTTGCATTTTGATGGCGTTATTTATGTCACAATTAATTGTGATATCCCTGAAACCACAGAATTTTTAGTACCTCTCCTCTTGCATTGCAAAACAAAAATGCTAAAATTTCATATTAAATATTTGAATAATTTTGTTTCATGGAATTTTGTTGACACTTCCTAAATAGATCAAAATATGTTGTGTATATTACATGAGAATGGCTTAAACCGTTTCTTAACTAGTCTAAGAACAAGGTTATGCATTGTAGCTATTAACTGGGAAATCAGAATACTATTTATTAGAAGTTAATATCTTCATGCAATGGCATCTAGAAATGGTTAAAGTTTGCTGTCAACAGACTAACACTTAATTTTATTCTTTGCTTTTCTGTTTTACTGATATTAAATTCTTCAGATAAGAATTTGGGAGGAAAATGTTTGTCTTATCAAGTTATTTTAACGCTTATCTTTTTTTCCTCTCTTCCTCATGGCTTTTTATACTGTGAAACTATTGTTATCAGTCTTTTTAAAGATTAGATTTGGCAAATATTTTGGATTTTGCTTCATGCTTCACTTGCTAAGGCTTCAATTATCTTTTTAGCTCTGTAACAATTTTGAAATGAAATTACAGCTTTTTCTTTTTCTCTTTTTTTTTTTTTTCTTAACTTTACGTAGAATTTAACTAATGGCAAGACTGTTTCAGGCATACAGTTTATCTACTTGTTTTCACTGCCATTTAATATTGTAACCATTCCAACAAATATTACAAATAACTCTTAAAACTTCTTGTAATTTCTGTCTGAATTTCTCGGCTGAGGAGTCATTATTTACTGAATTTCTATTCAGATTAATGTCCTCATCTTATGTTTTGATTGTTGTACTCTCCAACCTTCATCAGGTGTATATCTCTCAGTAATCTAGAAGGTATTCTGAGCTGTACCCTTTATTTAATCTGAGAATACTGTTCTCATTCCACTGCCCATGTCTAGGGACATCTGGTTTACTTACTTTTTAGTATTGCTAAGTTTGTCCATTTCCACAGAGTCCAACTCAAAGTACACAGAAAATACTGATTCATGAATTTGGTGATATAAATATTGTAAGTTCAATCCTTGGGCTGGTTAGTGTGTACTTGCTTGGTGGAAACATGTGGGCAATAACTGAACAGTATTAAAAATAAAACTGTTGTACTCTCCAGCCTTCCTCAGTTATATATTGATCTGGGCAACCTACAGGAAATTCTGAACTGATTAAATAAAGGATTCAGTTCAGAATTCCCTGTAGGTTACCCAGATATATATATATATATACTTGAGGAAGGCTGGAAAGCACAAAAGCCGAAATGTTGCGATAACAAAGATGAGGACAATAGTCCAAATATAGTGTTCTCTTCTAATCACAATTTAAATTTGTGAGATGACTGGCTCCATTATTTAGTTCTACCAGTTCAAACCTTTACAGCCAGGACACGCCATGCTATATCATCATCTATGTCCCTTCAGTATATTAGCAATCATGGCTCTCTACAATTTTCTAACCTTTATAGCTTTTAATAAATTTTGTCTCTTCTAAATCCTGTTCTGTCATCCATTTAATAAAGCTAACAAGGTAAGTTATGCATTGTTTTCCTCTGTACTTCTTCAGTATGTCCTATGAGTATCAAATTTTCCAAGCTCCCTTTCCTCATTATGTGCCCTAGAAATTTCAACTCTCTCCTCTCAATGTTAAGCATAAGTGTTTTTTGTTTCCATTTTCTGTAAAACTTTATTGCTCACATGTTTGGTCAGTGATATTCTCAGTGTCTTTCTGTAGAACCACATTTATATTGCTTAGTCTCTCCAATGAGTAGATTGTCCAGCATTCACAGTGTCAAATCCCCCTCATTTCCTCCATATTCCAATTGTAAGGAGGAAGTTCCACTCAGCTTTATTTTTTTCTCTTGAACTGCTACTTTGTGAAACAGGCACCAGCATGGCTACTTTCCTGGACTCTACAATTTTTAACCTTTTCAAGTGTCAGTCATTGTCTATACTCCATGTCCTTATGGTCTACAACCATTTCACATTGAAACATTGGTTCTTATATGGTCACCAATTTTAAGCAATGTCAGTACCTAAATGGGTGATTACTTAGGAATACCGGGTGCTGTAAGCTTGGATGTGCAGCTGGTGTAATAGATAATGTCTCCAAATTGTTAATTGGAGAGCAAAGTTCCAATTCCTGTTGGGTTCATTATATTCACTTACATTTGGAGAAAGGTATGAACCCATCTTCCTCCCACCAATTAATTAGGACTTTTATCAGTCAAAAATTTTAAAAAAAAAATCTTACAATCTAAAACTATTTTGTCTTCAAATAACCTACAAAATATTGATAAACTGTAAAAAAAAAAAAAAAAAAAAACTCCAAATTTTCGCTTCCTACCATCTCTTTTTACACTACCTTCATTCTGTAACTACCTACCTTGAGTAGCTTTTGAGCCTTGTATTGTGGACTTCAGTAAGAAAAGTAATTGTTATACAAATGTCCTTCTATCTAGTTACATAGTGGTTGAGTTAAATTGCATTGCCAGATTGTAAATCCTCCATTCTTAGAGAGGGTGGGGAAGAGCCAAAAATGATGATGTAACAAAAGCAGATTAAGAAAGAATTATCATGTGACATGATCTTGTGTTTGACAGAATGAGAATCTTATCTCAAATATTGAATAAAGGGTTTGGTTCAAAATTCCTAATCTAACAAATGATACTTAAAAGCCATATAGAATAACAGCTGAAAGTGACTATAAAAACAAAAATGAGGATGCTGGTCTGATTAGATCAAGTACAGTTTGGCTTAAGTTAGTACTCTATGCCGTTTACTGAAGTAGTGAGGTTTATTTAGCTCTTGTCTGTTATGGTCATTCTTTCTTTCTTTCTTTTTTTATCTCCCCCCCCCCACCTCTTGAATTCATCTAGTTTGTAATTTTTGTATATGCAAAAATGTCATTAAAATTTTGTAAACATTAAAATCATAAATTGCACTTGACCAATATATTCTTGGTATTTAGGATGAACTTTCATTGCATTAGAAAAATGTGGCTTATCAGAATCAAATCCATCTCCAAATAAGACTAAACAAAATGCTCATTTGAATAAAAAAAAAGTTGTCATTATTTGTTGCAATGTTTGACATTACAATTCATAGTGAAACCAACTGAGCATTGCAATAAGAAATAAATAAAAAAAAAAAAAAAAATAAAAAAAATTTTTGCCAAGAAAAATTAGAATGTTTCATCTCAAAAATCGTGTTTCTATACATGTTTACTGTACAATCCATATTGGAAACGGATCCTAGTAACCTAAGTAATTAAGAATTATAGTTTAAGAGGCTCTTAGTGTTTTGTGTTTGTCAAATGAACCCATTCTGATTGCTAGGGGGTTTAGAAAACTTTTACATTATTGACAAATATCCAATCTAGATAGTGATTGGATTTAATATCCATGTCGGCTGTTTTCAATAGTAGATGATACAATTTCATGTAACCAATTATTTTATACATAATATATTTTGTATCTTTCTCAGATGTGTTAGTAGCACTGACCAGTCACTAAGTTTTTTTTTTTTTTTTTATACTGGTTCTTGATACTTAGTGTTTATGGTTGTCAGTAGTTTCCTATCTTATATGAAACAAGTTTTTTTTTTTTAAATTTAACACCTTAGTTATATAATGACTTGTGTGCATCTAGTGTTGAATGACTTTTATCTCTAGCCTAGTTTGTCTTGAATTTTTATTTACAAAACCATCTGCAAGATTTCTTGGCGATCTACAAATGTAAGACAACTGACTGCAAAAGCAGGCCAGACCAATCTACAGAAAAAAATGTAGCTTAAAATTCTTGATCTAATTTTCTATTCATTTTCTTTTCTTTACTTTTATAAAGTCTCAGCCATTCTTTCTTTTTTTTTTTTTTTTTTGTCACTCTACAACAAAAGTTCTTTGTAATGTATTTAGGCTGACTGTTAAAATGCTTACATAAATTAAACTGTGTCAAATTCTTTCTAAATGTATGCTTATTGCTGATAATCAGGCACTCATAAAGTTTCTATTCTGATATTTCTTTTGGCATCTAAATTAGATTCTAATGTGATATCAGTTATGATTCACTAAACATAGTCAGAAAATGTTCAGATTTTATGTGCGTAGTAGACCTGTCAAAATATCCATGATACATTTTACATGAACAGGTGGAAGAAATATATTAAAAACTTTAAGTATTAGTCTCTTATATATAAATGAGCATGACATGATTAAAAAGGCCTCAAACTTGATATAAATATTTTATCATCAAAATGTTTATTAAGAGAAAAGACCAAAGTAGTTTTTGATTTTATTAAATTTTTTAACCATACCTAGCTTTTTTTTTTTTTTAATTCTTGCAAAGTCAATTGTCAGATTTTAATAAAAATTTTCAGGACTTATTCATAACTGAACAAAATTATTAAAATGTTTTTTATAAAATTAAATTTTTTTTAATCCTTGCTTACTTAATTTTATGAAATTTCAAGAAATTAAAATTTTAGCCTCTTATTTATATTGATTAAAAGTAAGGCTCCTTGGAAAATTTAAATCATCAATTTGTTTTTGTCAAACAAACAATTTACTGAAAAATCTGAATCATAAAAATAAAAAATGCAATAAAACTGACATTTAATTAGAAAAGCTTTTAATTGAAAATAAGATTTTAATTGCTTTTTTTTTTTTTTTATGAATAAGATATATTTTTTAATAAAATTACAAAAATTTTTAAATCTCTTAATTCTATTTTCAGATTACAGAGAAATTTTTTTATTTTAAAACGTTAATTATTTTTCCTAAATTTTACAGAATACTTAAAAATTAAATTTTTAAAAAAAGCTCTTGCGTCATTTTCTTCACTCATGTTCTAGAAAGTCTCCATAGAACAACATAAAATCTGTCATCACCTCATCAATCACTTTTTTTTTTTTTTTTTTTAAATGGATTTCTGCAATGTTTAAAACTTAAAGTAAATAATTTGTTTTAAATCAGATTAATTATACTTTAAATCAGCTAATAATCCTCAAATAAGGTTTCAGAAAAGTATATTATTTTTGGAAGATTTTTTCTTTAATAAAGAATTACATTGAGATGAAAGACAACTAAAAAATGTGGGGCACTAATCAGTTTTTATGTTTTCTGTTTAGCAAAATGACAAAAAAAAACTAGAACTTTTTCCAGTCAATTTAAATTATTTTTTGAAAATCCAAGTAAACCTGGCAGCTACTCTTGAAAAGGACCTCCATTCAATGGTTAACTGGGGCAAGAAATGGCTTATGAATATCAATACCTCCAAAACAAAACTGCTTTCATTTAATCATCAGAACTTTTTTTTGGCCTACCGTCAGGATAACTGACACTGAACTCCAGGGGAGCAACACTTCATGCCACCTTGGCTTCACATTTTCTATTGACATGAAGTAGAGCAACTATATCAAGTCAATCCCTACATCTGCTGCAGGGAAGGTTAATTCACTCTGTCATGCCAAAACATTTTTCTTGTCAGAATCCATCTTGCACATATAAATCTGCCATTTGTCTGTACAATGAATACTGTTGCTATATCTGGTTTGGTGCTCTTACTGTACATCTTGAGATTCTTGACAAAATCCAGAGTAGGATCTGCAATATAATTGATCCTGATCAGGCATCTCGTCTCCAGTCACTTTTTCACCCATGTAACTTGTCTTCCTTCCATCGTTTTTTTTTTTTTTTTTTTTTTTCTACAAATATTTTCATGGCAACTGCTTGATGAGTTTTTTTCCCTGGTGCCCTGACTACATGGATTTAAGCATGCAAATAGATTGGCAACTAAGTCTCACCATTTTTACTGTTGAGCTGGCTATATATAACCACCACTTCTGCTCTAACAGTTTTTCTCTCACTTCCCACCTATGGAACTCCCTATTTCTTGCTCCCTGATAACTACAATCTTCAGAAATTTAAATGCAATGTTAATCGCCATCTTGTCTTCCAAATTATTTCTTTTTTGTTCTTATCTTTCACTTTCGCTCCCTATAGCCCTTTGAATTATAGTGGCATTGTCGCCTAGCTTGGAGTGAAACATATATACACACACACACACAAATCTGTTGCAGTTGTGAAATGAGGTGGTTGTGGGGGCTGAATCAGGCTGGCATCTCTTTGTCCCTGATTCTTTTCTCATCAAAATCAAACCCTCCAGACCTTACAAGGGAGCGCCAGATATAAAATTTCAATAACTACAGGGTATTTGCCTTTATTTTTCAGTCTTTCTCCAGGATCTTCTTGCTACCAAAAAAGTCCAAATTTGGATTCTTCTGTCTGCAATACATTTTCCTTAGTTATGAATATTTTGTATGAAAAATATTTTTACACCATTAACCCCTGCCTTCCAGTAGACTTTTGAGATTACCAAAATTTTCAAAGTTAAATGTTAATACAGGTTCTAAATGTTAACTCAGCACTGACTTATGTTGTAAACAAAACATGTAGCTGTCTTTGTTTGAGAAAAAAAGATTGTACCATTACAACAATATTTTCATAGTTTGTTTTTTTTTTTTTTTTTTTTAACTTGAAGTAATTTGCACAAAATGGCAAAATCAAAGCAGCTAAGCATTGAGGTGAGAGCAAAAATTGAAATTTTAATCAAATGCTACTCTCAGACAAATTGCCAAGAAGTTGAAGATTTCTAAACATGGATGCAATATTCATTACAAAGGCAGGTAGAAACTGGTACAAAAATGTTGATAGAAAAAAAGCTAGAGCATCAAAAGTGACAAATGTTGCTGAAGATGCACTTGATTATTGAGACCAAAAGAAAACTAAACAAAACTGCTTCAGAGTTGACAGCTGAAATTAATTGCTCTTAACAGCGACAAGTGTTGTTCTCAACTCAAAAACTGACTTTGATCAGCAGTTAAATAAGCAGGAAAAGATTATGGGCAAAAAAGCTTAAGAACTGGACATTGAAAGTGGCACAACGTATTCTGGACAAACTTGTCCAAACTTGAAGTTTTTGCTAATAAAAAATGTGACAAGAAAACCAGGATAAATGATGAATGTGTGGTTCCAACAGTTAAGCATGGTGGTAGTCTGTTATGGTGTTGGATGTTTTGTGGGTGAGAGCTGGAGATTTGATCTGTGTCAAGCTAAACCATCTGGTTTATGCATAATTGGGGGAAAAAAAATTCACCTTTTCAACAAGACAACTAAATTATGTCAATTACCTAGAGTCAATTTTGGAAATTATAACTTAGCTGCCTCAATCTCCTGACCTATCCTAGTGAATTTGTATAGGATGAGTTGGATAGGATTTTTAAAGAGAATACCCCCAAAATTGAGGGTGAGCTTAAGTGCTTGGGAATGTCTACCATTTGATTTTGTCTTTTTCCAAAAACTGTTGGAAAGATGCCAAGAATTTGTAAAGTAGTAATTAAGGCAGGTGGTGGTTTTCTTGACTAAAACAAAATGAGGCTGTTGTATAATTTTAATAAATGGTGATAGCATATTAGTAATTAATGGTTTTGGTGTAAGAGTTGAAGTATTTCAGAGCAGTGAACAAAAATGGAATTTGATGCTTTAACCATATTTTACCTGAAATTTTTGGAATTTGGTATTGAGTATTAACAATTAGAAAAATGATTCAATGACCAGGGGAAATAATGATGGATTACAAATTTTTTTTCCTCTTCTCTGGTTAAGGCAACTAATGTTGAATACTTTGTTGGCTATCCTGGAAAAAAAATTGAATTTGTAGTTAGGATGGTCAGAAACTAATTCTACAACTGTATACTAGTTTGTCCATTTTACATAAGTAGGCTGAAAGATTGTTACTAACCATTGCACCATATCTTACAGTTGTATTGATATTCACTTTATCTTATAACACCTTTCACCAACAGGTCACATCCTTGGTCATGATCACCAATTAATATAATGCCTTTGGACACCACCTACACCTGGTGGTATAACCATGTTCAATGGTCCAGTCCTCAGGATGTTAGGACAATGTTTTAACCACAGGGATAACTCTTCACCGGTTCAAGCCATGATGTGTGCTACATTGGGGTGGGGTGGGGACTTCACAATGAAAAATAAAACGAAAGATTCATGGGCTTAATCTTCAATTGGATTATATAACTATTGGTACAACAAAAATTAATCCTTCCTACATCAATCTCTATAGTGATGCTGGGCCTTGTCTAAACTTCTAGAAGAGCTGGATTCAAAGTTCTTGGAATCAGGAAATCTGGTGGCAGCTGACATGGATTCCAGGAGCACTTTTTCAATTCTCTAAGCTCTCCAAAGTCATCTGCTTATATGCACTGACCCAAAACTGGTGTGAGGCCAAAGGTTTCTGGGTTCTCAATTTGTTCTGATTCTCTAATTTTCATTAATTCCAATAAAGGTTTTCTTTGTTCCATATTTCTTTCTTAATCAACTTTCCAAATTTGGAGAATTATCCACCTTCCTTGGATTGATTCTCTCTTAACTCCAACCTGCTTCACTTCACATCTTGCACTGCTACTCTGCACAAATGGGGCCATATTCTGCCCCTTCCACCTTCCTTTTTGGTATTCCACTTTTCAGGGCTGGCATAACTGTCTTTGTGACAAATCTAATTTTTAAAATGCATAGGACAAAGGTGTGGTTTATTCTCCTCATTAATTTCAATTCTGACTCCTTTCCTGGCCTGACTTGTCCAACAACAAAAAAACAAAAACCAGATCACCTCATTTTAACCTGCCAACCAATAGATAAAAATTACTTCCCAATTTGTTTTTGCTAATGAAAATAGGTTTACTTAAATTCTCAACAAAGAGGCATGCTGTTTTCTATCCTTGATTCAGTCACTCTCTTAGTAAAAACATAAACCAGATCACCTGCCTGTTAGGACAGATCAATTTTCATAATCCTAACCCTCGCAATGGGTTCATTCTGTTTGCATTTCTCAATTTGTTTTTGCTAAATATAATTCCTGTCTGCTTCTCTTTTCACCACTGACACATGTTCTTCTAATTTCCCAAGAAAGAGATAGCCATTTCCCAATTTGCTTTACCTACAGGCCAGATTTTCAGTAGATAAAAAAGTAAATTTTTGGTGCATCGTTCCAATCTGTAGGTGTGAGACAACTCAGATGGCTGTTTCTTCACTTCCACATTACCAGGAAAATGTCTTCCATTCTGTCTATCTTCTAGTTTATATTTCATTTTGGGCTTAACCCTTTCTCTGTTTAGAATTAATGTTTAACCACCTCACAACCTGTGTGTCACAATCTTAGCATGGGTTAATGCTTTGTGTTATATAGGCAACAAATGATATTCCTACTATAGTAATGATGGCAAACTTGCTAATATTAAGCATTATTGCCTGGTTTTATAGTTGTCTTCTGTCTTAACTTAATTAGACGTTGGAAGCATTTTATATTCGATTGAACAGTTAGTGTTTCTATCAGTTGAATTTTATGAATTTTTTTTTTTTTTTTTTTTTTCATGAGAATAAATTTCTTGAGTCCACTGTTATTGCTCTTTCTAGTATTGATGGTAGTTTCCTTCCTAATGTTACATTCTTCCCAAATCAGATCTTCTGATTCCCACTACACTAATTTCCACCGCTAGCCACGTGTGAATGCTTCAAACACCCAAAACTCTGCTAAAATCCATCAGCTGCACAAAGCTCTGCATATATTGTTTACTTACACACTCAAAAAAAAAAAAAAAAAGTAATGCAGTCTAGAATTTCCACTTTTACTTAAAGAAACAAAATAAAAACTGGGGCTAATTTGAGCCTTGAAAAGGACATAAAAGCCTATCAAAGAGACATTTGGTAATCAAATGGCATCTTGACCCAAGTTCACACATTTGTCAAAAAAGTGACCTCATCTCCAAACACAACTCTACCAACTCAACAACACTGTTGCCTCAGTAAATCACAACTTATCCTCCATCTCCTTCCAAATGCCTTACCGGATGCCTTTACAACTCCATTTATTTCTTTTCTTTTCTTTTTCTTTTCTCCTACCCTGATTTTTCATTTATTGTATTTAAATAAATTTATTCATCTTAAACTTTTGTTTCTTTTTCGTTCTGCCACTATATGCTTAGTAATGTGAAATACATGTTCATAATATAACACTAACTTGGTTTTTAAGGTAGTGTGGAATGTCAACATAAGATCTGTCACTTTTTTTTTTTTTCTTCTCTTTTGGTTTTTATCGTTAAATTACCGAGACTTGTTTTATATACTTTAAACTTTTTTTTTTTTCTTTTTCAGTTTAATAAACAAATTTGTTTCCAAAGATGGAAAGAATGTTGATTACACAAAACTGAAAACCAGTGGAGAATTTGACAAATTAAAACTGGAAGTCTCCAAACTACCTTACATCATCTTGTCTGAATTGTCCACAGAACAACAAAAAGCTTTCTTTATTAGTATCCTTTTTATTCAAACTTTTCATGAATAAACTTAGTTTTATTGATACTTATAATTGTTTGTGTATGCATGGTGCATTATTTGTAGATTACAAAGAAATGTTGATCAATAAAAGAAATTTTTAAAAAGCTTAAAATTTGTCTGGAACCATTAATCCCCATACATATCAATAACAAGCTAAAAGCAGGACTACAATTGCATAGTAAATTATTGCATTTGAAGTTTTCAAATTGGTACTTAGGTACTACATAATTTGGAATTTATCTGCTTGCTTTTTCATTTATATTAATAACTAAACAATTCTATAAAACAAAATGAAATCTGCCAAAATTGCTACTATAATGTAGCAGCTATGTTGAAAGTGGAACTGCCGATTTTCATACAGTGGAACTTTAACTTGAAATCAAAATGGTTTTACAGAAGTAGTTTCCAGTAATATTCTAATCACCTCAACTTTCAGACCCAAGCTTGAAATCTACTGTAAATGTCAGTTAGTAATAAATATGTAGAATTGTCCTATAAGCCAAAAATATGCTTCCTGATTTTTGTAAAGAAACTACTAAATTAATATGATGTATCACTTGGTTACTAGGCTATTAGGACTTAGTAGGCCTAGCATAGAAATAAATACAATCTGAAATTCACTAAAGACACACAGATAACAGCAAGTCTCCAAAAGTAGTCAAGTAAAACAGGAAGTACAAGTAGCACTCATCAGCAGGTAGGTTAGGTTTAAGGTTCCAAGATCACTGCAAAGAACTCTCCTACAAGACAATAGTTCAGTGGATTAAAACATTAGTCCATGAATTTGGTGACATAGTAATTGTGAGTTCAATCCTTGTGCTGTCCAATGTGTACTTGGACTCTGTGGAAATGGGTGAATAATAACTGAGCAGTATTAAAATAACTAAACAAGATATTATGGTAGAAGAACAGTCTATACCCATAGATTAAACAAAGTTTAATTAAATAGTCCTCCCAAATTCTTAAATTTTATCCATTGCCTTAGTTTCTTGGTGTCCGAATAAACTGCTCCTCATAAAATCTTATTTAGCTTTATTTAACCAGATCTTTAGAAACTTAAAATGTAAAAGTTTCAAATGACAACTTGTTCATCAATCTATCCTTGTCTTTGGGGCAAAGTTTATAGTTTCTAATACAGAATTTTTTCTATTTCTACAGTTAAATAAAGTTGTCTTTTCTGATAATTACTTCTCATTTTAGTTTCTAAGAAACATTTAATGTTTGAAGCCTGTCATGAGAATGTAAATCTAATTTTTAATTCTGCACATTTCAAAACAAACCAATCTCTAAAGTTGTATAATAAAAAAATAAAAAAAAATAAATAAAAAAATTGCCATTCTTACCTTGACTTTAATAGATGTGTTCAACATTCTCACAATCCATGCAGTTGCCAGCCAGCCAAAACTTCCACACTCTATACGTGACCTGCCACAGTTCTGGAACACATCAGCTTATCAAATTGGTAAACAAAACTTTACCTTAGATGATATTGAACATGGAATCCTTAGGGGTAAGTTATTTATTAGCTTCATAATAATAATTTTTAAATATCTTAATTTCTGTGCAACAGTAGCCAAGTGTCCTATATATATATATATATACACACACACACACATATATATATATATATATATATATATATATATATATGCAATAAACAGACAACCGTTTTAGTAATGAAAAGGAATAAGACTTTTATAAAGTTATCTGCACACTACCAGTTATTAAAGTCCAGTGTGAGAACTTTTTCAAAGCTAAAGATTCACTGTCTGAGGAGAATTTGGACTCCTACACATTACTATCCATTGAAAAGCAATTGTTAGATGAACTGGACACAATTATTGGCAAATTCAGTCTTCTAGTGAATAGAAATGATTACTCTTAATATAGTGGACTGTATGCAATGCTTAACCTCTGCAGTAAACTATTTAAAAATATCAACAAAATACTTAACTGCATTATTGTTACTTTCCTTTCTACTGCATTCTTTTTCAAGGCCTCTCAATTGCAGTATCTTTATTGTTAACTGTACTCAAAGTTGTCTTCTGTTGCCATAAGAAATAAATTCAAACACTATTGTTCAGGGATTAGTCACCTTCAGTGGCAGGATAAACTCTTTGTACAGCAAATAGTCAAATACAGAGTCTTAAAGGCTAAAATTAAAAAAAAAAAGTTCTGTATTTACATTTGGTATCTACTGCCATTTATACGTACCATCCATCTTTTTTTATTTATTCATTTTAAAAATTACATTGATAAATTGTAATTGTGGGGGGCTTCCTTTGTCTCTTGGTAACTGGTATTTTTTAGACCCTGTTTACCACTGTTTATAAAGATAATGTAGTTATCATGGTTTGTTTTGTTTTCAAATAAATACAATTTATGGTTCAAAAGCTTCAGATTAATGTAAGTGTATGATTATTTTTCAATTGTAAGACTTCTATTAAAGTAACACTTCTTCTTGTATAGAGATTGACTATATTTCAGTCTAAATATGATACATTGTCTTGATAGCAATTAAAAATGCTTGCTTAGTTGTGCAAGTTTAGTTAACCAGTCAAGTCTCAGCTGATCTCTTAGGTCAAATGATAAACTGCATCTGGCAGCAAGGGCTCTGATCAGAAGCTTTGAGGAGCAGGGAACCACCTTTTAATTGCCATTGCTCCCTGGGGTGGTGGGATCTGTTAGGGTGCTAGCTATGAGCAAATAGTACACTCCCTAAAAAAAATCAAATGTATATTTTTCTATTAAGATGAGCAACAGTACAAAACTAAAAAAAACTCGTCTAAAAAAAAAAAAAAAAAAAAGTGCCTTTTACTCGGAAAGTATACAATTATGTAAAAAAAAATATTTAGATTTAGGCATTAAATAACCTATAGAGGTTGATATGCCACTAAACAAAATCAAACCAGCTCTTAGGTCAAGATATTTTACTTTTTTGTTAACCATTTAAATGCAGTCAAATGTGGTAAATTTGTGACATTTTACATGTTTAGATTTTTTTTTTTCCTTCATTTATTAAAATATTTACTAATTTCACAGCTTCAGCTATGAGGTGCTGCTAATTCCAATTTTTTTTTTTTTTTTTTTTTTTTTTCTAAAAGGTAACTAGCCAGAACCAGGATCAATCAAACCACATTTTGATTCACAAGATCCCCGTTTAGAGTTTGTAATAAAGAAACTTGATCCAAGAATCCATTTTACTTTAGTCTGGGGCTGTAAGGTAACTTTTTTTTCTTTTAACTTTGCTGAAATCAATTTTGAAAATTAATGTTTGAGGTTTTGCAGAGATGCTTTTATTAAAGTCACTTTAGTTTTTAAATGATCAATTTTTCATAATTGATCTAACAATCATTTTTTGCAAAAATGTTGACCTTTGAACTTAAGCATCTGTCTAAATTTCCCTTTCTGAATGTTTTTTTTTTTTTTTTTTTTCTCTTCATGGAAGTATTTCAAAACTCGGGTAAGCCTTAAGTATATTGTTATCAAGTGTGTTTCATTGAAAAACTTTTAACATTTCTCTGACAAATTGAATACAGTGATTTAGTAACTTGTTAGTTTTACTATACTGCTTTTTAGTTGTTTTAGCAATTGAAGGAGTGTGTGTGTATATATATATATATATATATATATATATATATATATATATATATATATATGATATAATTATTTTTAATAATTATTAATGGATTAATGGCATGATCTTGAATCCCTCAATCATTAAATCATTTGCTTTGTGTTTAAACTAGATAATACAATGTCACAGTATTTTGATAACTAAATTATCCTTTGTTTACCTTATAAGCAGAGCTTTGTCTGAATTTCTGAAATCAGGAACTGTCATTATTTACAGATGTCCTCATCTTTGTCATTATCACAACATATCAGCCATTATGTTCTCTCAGCTTTCACCTTGTCTGATCTGAGTAATCTTCAGGCACTTTTCAAACAAACCTTTATTTAATCTAGTGGGTAGATAGTTTTTTGTTCTGCTTTATATATCATATCTTGCCCTCACTCACTCTCTCTCACATATATATATATATATATATATATATATATCCCTTTGACATGGACAGTGGCATGAGAACACTTTCTGTGTAGATGAAATAGTGTTCAGTTCAAAATTTCCTGACGGTTACCTGAATTGATACATCTGAAGAAGGTCAGGTTGCTTTGTTCAAACCTAAGGACTGTACAGGGCTCCTTCCATGCAATGCTAGCACCCCTATTAGTAATAGCTCAGCTATAAATATAAGAAAAAATGGATATCTACTCGAATGAAAAATTGGAGGGTAAAGTTCAAATTCCAGTCAAGTTTGTTACACTTTCGCACAAATACCCTTGGGAATGGTATGAATTCATCTCTTCTCTCACTGACGGGTTGACTAGCAGGATAGACTGGGTTCTATAGCCTTGACTGACAGCCAGTCTACCACAGAAAGAAATGACAACCTACTGCAGGAAAATCTTATACCTAGTCAGTCTTGGATCAAAAGACATGATCGCCCAAGTGTGTATCACATATGTCACTTAACTGACTATAATGAACAAATAGGAAATGCATTTTTGTAGATTCCTGACTTGCCAATACTGTGTTCACTGTTACTCTGCCTTGAGTTTCTTTGTGTCTGTTTGGAGGTAATAGTGGGGATATGCTCTCACTGTCCATAAAATACTTCTGTGGAATATGTCTCAAATAGCCTCTGACAGCTAAGTCCAGCTCCAAGCCAGAGAATAGGCAAAGGTGGAAAACTGGCACTTGATAACCAGCTGCTATAGGTAGATATAGCCTGGGAAGGCAGTCCATCTAGGGGAAGTAAAAATTCTGATTTTAAATATCTGCTGCCTTGCAATCATATCCAAAATATGGAAAAGGCTATGAAAGTAAATCCAGACGGAAAACCCAGAGTGGAGCCCTGAAGGCTGACAACTTTCCAGCGCCAAATATAATGTCCAGTATTCCTTTGGATTGGATCTTGTCTGTATGGTCAAGTGGGGAACCATGTAGTCAGGGCAGTGCATGGTCTCCATATACACTCACCTATATAGAAGGAAAACTCTGAATTTAAGCCACCTGCTACTTTGTAGGTCTTGACTCTTTCCCTTCTGAGAGGAGGGACAGGGTAAAAAGAATCATCAAACCATTGCATTATTCTGCTTTGAATGACACCATGTGCCACAATTGTGAGATGGAAAGGAGTGGTGACCACAGCAGTGCAAAATATGCTAAGTAAATAAATAAATAAATGAATGTATATTTGTTACAGGGACTCTTTTTTGAAAGAGATTGGAAATTAAGTGTTAGAAGTAATATTTTTATTTCTCAGCACTTTGCTTATGTCTGTGAGGATCAAATACTTATTTGTTGACAGACATTTGAGTGGAGGGATTTGCATAAAGTTCTATGCAGCTTTTTCTTTTTATTTCCTTACTGAAATGCAACTGCTCTTTATTTACAGTCAAGTCCTGCCCTTAATGTGTACCACAGTGCCAACTTAGATACTTCATTGGCGCAAGCTGCTCAGAAGTTTTGTGAAAAAGAAGTGTGTATGTACACAGAGGTTAATGAAATCTGGCTACCAGGTTTTTTCAAATGGTACCTCAAAGACTTTGGTAAACAGGACATTGATGTTATCAAGTAAGTGAAATTTATTTTTCAAACATTTTTATTCTTCCTTTTCTTTGTCCTCTCCCCCTGCTTACTCTCCCCTCCCCCCCCGCTTACTCTTGTCTCTCACCTTTTCTACAAAAAGCAAACTTCATGTCATCTGATCCATGAACTTTATTCAAACATGTGCTGTATGTTTCTTTTTCTCTGTTTAACATCTCCCTTGCACTAGAATGAGTCTATGACCATGGCAGTCTGTTCAAAGATCTCAATGAAGCCTGGAGTTGTAGCAATACATCATGATAATTAGAAAAAACAACCTTTTTAATAATAGTAAATGTAGCTAAGTGTTACAAAGGATAGGAGGCTGGGGAAAGTCATCTATACCCTGAAGGGACATAGCACAGAGGTATTTTTTTTTTTTTTTTTTTTTTTTTCCATCTTTTTGCTAACATGGATAAACTAGTATATAGTGTGAAAATAAGAGGGGTACTGATAGTAACTTTGTTGCATGGTAAAAAAAAAAAACTATATGCAATACTAGCAGTTCAGTGTAATTTAGTATTTAATTTCTGAGATGCAATTGTCATACTTTTATTTCAAACTATTGTTCATATCTTAATTGCTCTAGATGTTGATAGAGCCAATTTAGGAGGTTGTGGAGATACCATTGCACTTCCAATTTACCAGTGAGACTCTACAACTAGATTGGCCCTGTCGGCTGGGGCTGTAGAATATGCAAACTGCACCTTTGCAGAGGGGTAAGACCAATGGGCCACCTTTTGGCCTTGGGCAGCAACCCATAAGGTGCTAGGACAGAATCCTTGTGGTTGAGCAGTCATTGATTCGGTGACAGTGGTCAATGGCTTGCAACACACCACTTTGGCCCTTACTTGGTCTGACGGGTGGTTGGATAGGCCCAATCCAATTGATCGGTTTGTCCCGGCCCTAGTACATGTATCTTTTCTCTCAAACATGCTATTCAACCTATTCTTGCAGAACAACCCCCCCAACCCTTTATCTTATGTTAGAAGGCAGGGGCTGAGGGTCAATTGTGTTAAGAGGAAAAGACTTTTTGACCCTGTTAGATTGATTTGGCAGAGGCCCAGAATCTTGCTCTTGACATGAATATACTGGTATTGTATCCCCATCTCAGCCAAGGCAAATGGGTTTCCCCCTTGATTCATTCCCAACACAAGTTGGACTCTGTGGTGGAGCATAAGACCAATGAAAAATGTATGCTTATTATGGCTTCTTTCTTCAAAAAATCCAAAAGATATTTGGATAAGTTATCATCTTTCTTGATAGAGAAAATCATATCAAGTAGGTTGAATCCCAAAAACTTAAAACTTTGAAATGGTAACTTGCTAGTGGAAGTTGAAACAAAAACATGCAGAAAATTTACTCGAAATGGATAAATTTCACAACGTCAAATGTACAGTGTATCCATATGAAAAATTAAACACTTCAAAATGTTATAAGCTGCAAACTTTCATTAGCAACACAAGAAATTGAAAGTGCATAAAAAACAGGGTGTAAAGGATTATAAGAGAATATCTATTCAAAGAAACAATATTATAGACCCATACATATATACTAATATTTGAAAAAACCTGTAATACCAAAAGAAATCAGGATTGGTTATACTATAGAAAGGGTAGAGCAATTTATACCAGCTTCCCCACAGTGCTTCAAATGTCAAAAATTTGGACATCACAAAGACATTTGCAGAGGACACCAAGTGTGTGGGAAGCATGGTGAATGTGATCCAAATCGCACAAAATGAATGCAGTAATGTAAAATGTGCTAACTGCCATGAAGAACACCCTGCCTTTTGAATGACCTGTGATATCTAAGAGAGAAAAGGAAATAATGTATGTAAAGCACATGAAAAATATACCTTTCCTAGAAGCCAGAAAAATTGTTGAAAGCTATATGGGAACAAAAACCTATGCTAATATAACACAAAAGGCAAATCAAAAACCCAAGACATCACTCCAATAGATAAGTATAAAAATATTATAGAAATATTAATAAATTTGAATACAAATGAATTGCCAACATTCCAAGAAAATCTTAAAAGAATGTATTCAACAGAAATAAAACAGTCTTGTACAAAAACAAAATTAAATAATGATACTAATGTAGAAATGCCCATAGAAAATTCTAAGATGACTGAATCCACAAATGAAAAGCAACAAAGATCACTGATCCAACCTCCGGATATTAACAAAGACATAATTGAAAATAAAATAAGATATTATTAAAAAAAACAAAATGCTATTAAAAAAAATTACGCACCCCCCCCCAATCTTATCTATTCTCCTCCTCGCCATTGGGTATATTGTAGTAAGAGCCAGTTAAAGATAATACTACTGCAGTGTCTTGTCTACCTGAGTATTGAATACTACAATACTATCATGAATGATTCTGTCAATTTAAGTGTTGTCTTGCCAGACCCCACATCAAAACAAGATAGTAAAAAGAGGAAAATAACTTTTGGTGTAAAAACTTGACATATGCAGAGAGAGCTGTAGAGATAACACTAGCACATATTTCAGCATTGTACAAAATACAGCCTCTTCCCATACTGATTATTTTTTTTTTTTTTTTTTTTTTAATAAATGTACAAATAATGTCTCTTACATGATACCCCCTTTTTTTTTTTATCTTTCAGGTCAACCTTACCTTACCTTTCTAAGGAAAAGCAAGAAAGAGCCCATTTCCTGCTTATTACTTTGGATAAAGTAGGAAATGTTGCTATCAAGTATGCGCCTTATGAATGGTTGCTGAATGCCTGCAATCTGTGATAACAAAAAAACTATGGACAAGTGGAAACTTTGATGCCGTATAAACACGGCTTCAAAACTTATTTTTATAAAAGCTGAATATAATTTTTATTCAACTGCATGCACAGTAGAAGATAAACTATAACTAATTGATGTGTCATCATTTTGCTTTGCAGTTTGTAATGCATACATATTGTCGAATGTGCACAAGTTGGTAAGTGCTGTTGGCAGCAGACCACAATTTTAACGGAAGGTTTTTGCTGTCATTGAACAAGCTTTTTCTGTATAATACATTGATGTGTGTGTGGGGGGGGGTTATAACAAACCTTTTTGAAGCTTTATTTGGTTTGGAAAAGCTGTCAGATCTTCCCCCCCCCATCCTTCCACTGTAAAATTGGATTAAATCCAATGAAATGAGAAATATAAAAGACAATCTGGGGAAAACTTTAAAAAGTTCTCCCAATAATCCACTATCAAAAAAAAAAACAAATATTGTTAACAAATGAATATTTATTTATTTTAAATATCTAAAATGTTTAATTTTAGATTTTAACCACAATGTTTACATTTTTATTTTTCTTTCCTTTCCTTTTAAATCCAACAACTCAAAATTGAAATAGCTAAGTTGCATATTAATCATAGAGAACTCAAAAAATAATAGCACTTTTAATGCATCCTCATCTGAATAAATTTATATATATAATTTTTATTTAATCGGTCCACCCCAAGCAAGGCCAATAGGATGCAGGGAGTGAAACAGAATGAACATGGTATTACCACTTAAATGCTGTTGTTACCATGTTCACCCTGACTTGGGGTGGTAGCACCTGTTTAGGGTCCAAGCTCTGGGTAAATAGTGAACTCCCAAACAAAACACTACAAAAGTATAAAAATACATTTTTATAGTAAAAATACCTGCAATACTTTTTTTATATAAAAAAAAATTACCAACAATACATTTTATCTGTAGTTATACAATTGCATTCAAAATATATTTAGTTGAAGCCATGAAATTGTGTTCAAATTTAGATTTTGGTATTAAATAACCCATAGAGGTTGATATGCTACCAAACAAAATCAACCACAACCCTTCCAGGTCCCTGAAGGTCCTTCCAGAATTTGCAAGGAGGTTGTGACTTTTAATTTGCCTTAGTAAGTTGTAACCTTAGCTTAATGTAGTTTGAACATTAGCAAAGTGGCTAAACCACTACCCTACTGGTCACTGGTATTTAGTCCAAATAAACAAAAGTCCAAAAACGGTCCTCCCTATAGGGGGGGGGGGATCTCTTCTCTTGGTGGAGATACCAACCACACCCAGTTAACTAATGTAAACATTTGGGGAATGATAAGACCTCAATCTCGTCGTAGCTGTCCCAAGAAATGTTATATGCTTAGATCTCCTCACAAGCTGTGATCTTTTTGTTTAATAGTCTTTCATCTCCAAAATGGCTAGCTTTTCTTTTATACATAATCTGCATTTTCCATACTGATTCTATATGTGCTGATTCTTAATATTCTCCAATTCTGCCAGAATTTTCTTTTCTTTCTCACTTTTCTAATAATAAATTGATGTTGCATTTTTTTTTTTTTTTTTTTTTTTTCACAAACTAGTTCCTGATTAGCAATAATTTCACAAAGTATTTTTTTTATTTATTGGCTTGGATTTTTTTATTATGCCAACAATAACTAAAACATTTTGATTTAAATGCTTGCTTATTGTTACTGACATGCCAGAATGACCATTAATCAACTTTAGGAATATTTTTTTCTAATATTAGTCTTTGCAGTGTTTTACTGTTAAGGATAATATATATTATAATATCCCTACTTATTTATTTTACTTTTTTTATTTATTTTTTTTTTATACCCTGTAGCTAATGTCTTACAATTATGTGGAAAATATTACTACCATACTCTGTATGTGTTGAGAGTTGTCCCAGTGTTTATATAATGAGATGTATCTACCTGTAACATTGAGTGATAAACATGTTTTATCTTGTCAGAAATATTTGGAGTTACAAGTTACAAGATAACCCATGTTCAATACCCATAGGTATCTTCTCAATCTGCCTGGGGTGGTTCAATTTGACATTAACATCATAACTCATAATTAAAAAAAAAATTTCTTGTATTGTTCCACTATTCCATTGTTGAGATTCATTTTAACATCAAGATATTAAACATTCTTTAAACCTGTTTGAACACTAATGTTAAAACCCAATTCTTTAAATAATTGAAAGAGCTTTTTCTGATATTATCAATTTTTCTACCTGTACAATTTTCAATAAATATAAAGCCATTGTCCCTGTATAGACTGTTATCATCAATATCTATTATATTGCTCAGTTCATGCAAAATAACCTGATGAGCTCAAAAGCCTCTGCATTATCAGACCCAATGGAATGTCAAAATTCTCATCTTCCTTGGGTCTTTTTTTTTTTCTTCACCCACACATGATAATACAGTATGGACTTGCAGCAGTATTGAATAATTTGCATCTGTTGGTCTAGATGTTCATATACTGACTTCATCTAGTGTTTTGCAGAGTATAGAAGGGTAAAAATCCTTTATATCATATAGAATTGTACTTCCCCTTTTTGTATTGTATGTTGAACTATTCCATATATTTGCCCATACATTGCCACTTGTTTACCTTAGTAGTAATCCTAAGGACTTCACACATCTGGATCATTATTTTGCTGACTTTACCCAGTTCTGTCTTCAACGGATTCAGTAGTCTGTACTTGGGCATGTTCTCAGTCTGCCTTGTGATCTTATTGTCTGGTATTTTTCCAATCTGTTATTAATTTTTAAAGTTGTTGCAATATCCCTGGCAGCATATAATATTGTTGATGCAATTGTCAAGCCGACATTTTGTAAAATTTTGTTATTTCATCATGCATTCCGTTTTTGTGTACTTCAGGGTTTAGGCTTACATCCAAGTCACACTGAAATACTATTTTCACCAAAATTAAGCAACATTGAGCGTGGTCAGTACCTAGATGGAACCACTTGGGAATACCAGGTGTTGTAAACTTGGATGTACAGATTGTGCAATGGATAATGACTCAATTCCAGTTCCAATCGGGCTCATTGTATTGACTTATATGCAAATACCCTTGAGAAAGGTATGAATCCACCTCTTCTCCCTCCAGCTAAGTTAAATTAGTAGGATTTGTATTAGTAAATCATTCTCCCAAAAACAAAAATTCTTACAATCTAAAAATATTTTCTGGCTTTAAATAACCTGCAAAAATGTTGATAAGCCGTAGAAAACAAACAAATTAATCAATTCAGGGTTTACTTAGATGATTTCTCCTTTTCACAAGGACTTTAGTTGGTTTCTTAATTTGTTTTTAGGTCTTATATATATAAATAAAAAATGTGAAAAGTTGGAGGGTTAGAATCTTTGTTCAGACATGTGATGTTCCCCAAACTTTCTATATTGCTTATATAAATTGTTTAGTAACATATCTAAAAAATTTACTTTTCTATTATACACCCATTTTCACTCTCAGGACATGATTTTTAAAGAATTTGGTAATCTCTTTTCTGGTTCTTTCAACTTAGTTTTTTTTTTTTTTTTTTTTTTTTTTTTTTTTTTTAGTACTATGAGCCATTCATTTCTATATAGCCCTATGTACTTCAATTCTGATTGGTGCCAATGCCTACCCGCTCATGTGCTTCCACTAAATCATAAACTCCTATTGCCATGTAAAACTTTTTTGTTCCTTTTTAACCCACAATTTGTTATGGGGCACTGTCTATATTTCAATTTTGTTATCAATGCAGAGTACACCCAAGCCAGCTTTATCGCTCCAAACATCAGATATTTAGTGGTAAAATTCTTGAATATTGAACTGGATGAATATCCATTCTTTCTTGGTCTTAATTCCTCTAAACCATTTTATGCCCTCTTTTGTACTATGCCACTGATTCACCACCAAAGTGTTTCTAATATATGTGCACACCCGTCCCAACAGTTTTTTGCTTATTTTGTCCAACTCCTCCTTGGTAGATTTGAGTAACTGATATTACCAGTAATTACCAAAGTTTTCTTTGTTCCTTGATTCCCCGCCCCCAGTGTTGCAGCGCTTTTTACCAAATTCCTCTTTCCCGAGGGCATTTTCATGTTTGTCAGTACTGATTTTGTAATAGTAAGCTCATCCTTTAAAAAGGGAGATAATCGCCTTCTGCAGCTCCAATTATATGCGAGGCTGGATTTTTTCCCCCCCTTTGTTTTTGTGCAGTGTTATAATGACAGTGTCCCGAAGGTCTTGTGGTGAAATCCTGTTCCCAGCCGCCTGTGTTTTTGCTTTTTTTGTAGTGCTGTGCTCCACGTTTCTAAATCTCTGGAATTTTTTCAAGCTCTGCTGCTTTACCATTTTTGAGCTGATGGAGTAGTTTTGATGATCTCTTCTAGGGTGGGAGTCGCATACAGTCCTCTCTTTACTGGTTATTGTGGGACCTGCTGATTTGTCAAGTATGGCAGAGGACAATAAAAGATAAGCTAAAAATATAAAATAAGCAGAGAGCTCAATGCCAATTGGCAGTCTTAATGAAATATATATATATATATATATATATATATATATATATATATATATATATATAGATATTCTGACTATATCTATCATGTCCCTACTACAAGTTTCATGTGTTGCACAATCATCAGGCGGTACAGATATGGAACTATTAATTAGCTTGGTTCACTTTGAGGGTCAGGGGTGGATGATATCCACTACCTTGGATGTATATTTCTGATGAAATTCTTGCCTTTTTTTTTTGTGCTGACAAAAGGCTATCAATTTGTTTCTCTTGTACAAGAGCTTACTGACCAGTCTCTGCAGAATCCTGTTTTTCTGTCAGGCATGTTGCCACTTTAGCCAATCCCATTATAGGCCCTGGCCTTAACCAATATTCTCCCTGTAATTTTAGAGGCTTCCCTTCTTGTCAGTCGCAGCCTAGTGGAAGGTTGAAAGAGCAGTATTGTCATCATGCTTTTTGTTTCACAAACTCTT